TATGTACTGTCATGCCAGAATAGTTTGTAAATAACTTAACTATTAACTAATTGTACAACTATTGTATAAGTGTTTTTGTATACTATTTTTATACAATATATACAATTTACCAAAAAAGTCAAATTTGATCTTAAAACTTCATTTATAAACTCTGTAGCTGTTAATGCCATACTTTTCTGCATTTCTTCTTACATGCATGTTACTTTTGACTGTTAGGGGCGGGGTGAGCAGAGCTCATTAGCATTTAAAGCAACATGGACTAGAATGGCTTGCTGAAAAAAGAGCTGATTTTGACAGGGTAAAAAAAGGTGTTTTTTTATGCAACAATTGAGAAATTTTAACCAAAGTATGTTATATACTTTTCATTAAGACCCTAAAGAATCATATTAACATAATAATCTTGTGGAAAATGGGCATCCGATGACCCCTTTAAGTGTCTCAGATGACACCTGTATGACTGGACAACAGAGCTAAAAGGTAAATGATATTGAGGGGAAATGATTTCTAAAATACCACAAGAAGTGGAGAATTCATTGAGGTGAAGAAACCTAACAAAAGAAAAAAAAAAAGAAAAAAAAAATATATATATGAGGGACCGTACAAGCTATAATTCATTCTGGCACTCTCACACACTTTACATTCTCCTTTCACATACACACATTTGTACTCTCACACACATAGATTCTCCTTTCACATACATGCATTTGTTCTCTCACACACATATATTTTCCTTTCACATACATGCATTTGTACTCTCACACACATACATTCTCCTTTCACATACATGCATTTCTCTGTTTAGCTCGATTTGGGTTCATTTTAGTCTATCAGTGTAGGAATTTTAAACCATAAAAAAGCAACCCAGCATGCTGGGTCAAACATCATACACACATTTGTACTCTCACACACATAGATTCTCCTTTCACATACATGCATTTGTTCTCTCACACACATATATTTTCCTTTCACATACATGCATTTGTACTCTCACACATATGCATTTCTACTGTCACACACTTGCATTCTCCATTCACATACATACATTTCTACTCTGTCTCGCACACATACATTCTCCTTTCACATTTTTTTTTCATGACCGATACCAATTGCTGATTTTTTTTTTTTATACAATCAAATGAGTCTAAATAAACCAATTTATTTAGTTTTTATTACTTTTATTTATTTATTTTTACATTTATTAAATGTTTATTTTGCTCTGTTACTGGCCAAACTAACCTTGAATAAACAAACAAACAAAAATATATGCAACATGAAGCAACTGCACAAAACAAAAACATTGCTGAATGAATATTTTTATATTACTCTTTATTATTATTAGTGTTTTATTACCTTCATTATATGTATGTCTGCACTATGACTGTAGGCTACTTTCTGTACTGCCCTGAGAAATATATCCATATTAACCCCCACCCTAATTCCATAATTATGGTTTTCTTTCAGTATTTCGAGCATCGCAAACAATTAATTTGGTCTGGTACAGCATTTTCTCTGCTTGCGCGACGATTCTCTCCTCTTTGTGTCCGTCTTCAGTGCATCTGTCTTACAGATAATATATCATGATGATCATTACGTTTGTGTTACCAAATTGCATCCTGTCAGGAATAACCTGCCCCGCGCTGTTTTTAACCTGGTCGTTTTTGATTACTGTCAGTTTTAATGCCGGCGTTGCCAGGTATTGAAAACAAACAAAATAATCTAAAAATAAATAAATGAGTCCAAATCTTGAGTTATGGAAATAATATAAAGATATCGCTGCCCCTAACTTGCAACCTCCCACTTTATTCACTTCCTAAATTAAGTGAAAAAAAAAAAAAATCCATAGACGCTTATAATACATGTATCTGGCAACACGACTGAGGCTGAGCTCGCATCCTCAATCACAACTCGCTCAAGGGACGAGGCCATGTAACCTTTTCACGATGATAATATTTATTTATTTATTTTTATTTTTTTTAAACCTACATAGCTTGCTGAAATACTTCTGCGGCCGCCTCATCTACCTCAGCCATACTGATCAGGACCTATATATACATATATATATATACAGTATATATGTGTGTGTGAAAGGAGAATGTATGTGTTTGAGAGTAGAAATATATGCATGTGAAAGGAGAATGTAAGTGTGTGAAAGCAAGTATATATGTATGTGAAAGGAGAATGTATGCATGTGTGAGAGTAGAAATGTATATATGTGAAAGGAGAATGTATGTGTGTGAGAGTGCCAGAATGAATTATGGCTTGTACGGCTATGAGTACGGCTGTTTTTTAAGTAAATGCTGCTCTTTTGAGCTTTCTATCATCAAAAAATCCTGGGAAAAAATGTATCACAGCTTCCACAAAAAAGTATTAAAGCAGCATAACTGTTTTCAGCATTCATAATAATAAGAAATGTTTCTTGACCGACCAAATCAGCATATTAGAATGGTTTCTGAAAAAATCAAGTGAGACTGAATGCTAATGGCTGCTGAAAATTCAGCTTTGCTATCACAGAAATAGATTACATTTTAAAACATATTAAATAGAAAACAGTTATTGTTAAATTGTAATAATATTTCACAAAAGGCAAATGTATCACTGCACATTTAATAACTAATTTATCAATTAATCTGTACCAGAGTTTGGATCTACCATGTTAAAGTTGAGCTTTGCAATAGCACTGCCAATAACATAGGTTTGAAGGAATGCATGAACTGATAAAATACATACTTTGAATGCAATTACGTTGTTTTTGATAAAAACAAAACAAAAAAGTACTGACTGTGTTATTTACAACAAGCATGGCATCAGGGTAAACAAAGGTGTAATAAAACCATTTTGTTTCTTCACATAATACTTAATACTCAAACAGAGCTTGTGAACAATCAATGACTAATTTAAATTTTCAAAAGGGTTTATGGTCTGCCCGTCAGGTAATTTGTGAAGGGTGATTACTGAAGTGAGCAGCTAATGAATGACAGCATGTTGAAAATCTCACTGTGTGATGTCAACTGAAACCAATAAACAAACCTGCTACAATAATTGTGTTCACAGACTGTTACAGAGAGACTCTTTTTACATACCAAACTGCTTTTTGTGTACCTTAATGCAGTTATCAACACAATAGCTTTCCAGGAAGTCAATAACATACCTGATAATGACTGGCTTTTGCTAGCTCCTGATTGGCAGATTCCACATGTGATGAGGTGGTCTGAATGTAGTCTTCAATGCTGTCTGTGAAGAGAGAAAACAAGCATTAACAAGCATTATTATTGTTGTTGTCATCGTGTTTTGATGTAGAAAATGTTACAATGCGTTCAGGGTGTTCAGACTATTCCCAGATGATTTTCAGCCCATGTATGAGTAATCTTACACTTCATAAGAGAAAGTGTTCCTCACTCAAACACATTTCACAAAAAAAGAAGATTGTCCAAGCACACTGTGTACCAGAGCACCTTTATAAACATACCAACTTCTCTCATTCATGTTCCTTTTCCCAGGGAGGAAGAGATTAGAGAGCAAAGTGCCCAATGTTGATGCTGCCAAAATCTGCACTGCATTGTGTGGTTCCCTATACACCATCATCACAAAAGACCATGTTGAAGAGTCAAAAATGAAATTTTGGCCAAAAATGAAATTTTTCTTATTTACTCACCCTCATATTGTTCCAAGCCTGCATGCTATTATTTTTCCAGTAGAGATGCCATACAACAACATAATTCATAGTGAATAGGGACTTTTAAGGACCAAAAGAAACAACATACAATTATACAAATAAATATGAATATAAAAATAGACAAAATATTAAATAAATACTTTAATAGATTATAAATATAATTAAAATGATCAAAAAATTGTTCTGATAACTTTGTGTGAGAAACAGCCCACGTTTAAGTTATTATTCACTGTTAATCTTGTTCACGTTCATTACAATAATTTAAAAAATGCCATTATTTACTCAACCTCATATTGTTCCAAACCTGCATGCTTTTATTTATTTATTTATTTACAGTTGAAATGACACACAACAACATAATTCATATCATAGTAACCATGGACTGTTAAGGGCCAAAAGAAGCAGTAGACAATTATAAAATGCTAAATTAATGAAATAAAATTAAATAAAATTGAAAACAGAAAATGTTTTGGTGTCACTTGAGCATGAGTTTTTATGCATAGTCACTTGAGCATGAGTTTGAGCATAGAATTTGTAGGTGAATTATAATTATATGCTATAATTATACTTATATAATTAAATTATATATTCATAACAATAATCAGCCTTTCATAAGCAGGATGCACTTGTGCCAAATGAATTATTAAGATTCAATTCTACATTGTTTTGGGCAGCACTTACTGCATTATTGATATGTGAAATTATTTTTATAAAAAAAAAAAAAATCTGTGAAAATATACTTTGTAAATATACTTTTTATACTATGACTATTTGTGTATTAGGCAATATCTAGTATAAAAGTGTAAACAAATATTTGTAACATCTCTCATGGTACCAAGAGAAAATTACCTAATATTCTACTCAAGAAATGCATCACAAAAATACATTTTCTGCAGAGAATTGTGCTTAGAAACACACATACTGTATAATAATCAACTAGAAACACACAAAGACTCGGTTATGTCCTTGCTTCCTTAATTCATAGGAAAGTCAGCCAATTATTAACTTTGAATAATCCAAATGAGTTGTCTTGTTGCAATGCACATGTACTTATACTAGCAAGTGAGAGCATTGATTTAAATGCAAAGTCAATTCCCTTCCCAATTAAAAACAAATGTGCGGTTCACCACACGGGAGAGCAGAACGAAAGCAGAAGCGGGAGAGTTACAGCGGGGTTAAAGCAGGGCAGGCTCAGCTGAGGGGAACACTGTAGACCTCACCTCCGCCTAGCTGGAGGAACTAATGAGGTTTTGTTTATCTTTCTCTGATTTGATTTGGTGCTGGTCTCCGCCGTCACCGTGAGATGTGGCAGGGGAGGGTTTGCATGGAAAGAAGCTGGAAACCTGTGCGGGAAAAGGTTTTTGTCTATGCTTTTTCTATTTTTGTATTCGTCATTCAGTTAGATGGCCTTTTAAAGGATTAACAAGAGCTCCAACATGCTATCAGTTTGTAATCTTTCATCCCACCTTCCTTGCCTGGATTCATCTCAACCTCACATTTCTTTCTATTTATGGTAACAGCTAAATTGCCCATTTTAAATGAGTTGAGTGGAGCACAGTTGCTCCCTGGTACAATTAAAACCTGTAGAATAGTTTCCCGTACTTCTTATCACAAGTCCGTTCTCAGGTGGAGGTGCATGAACAACAAGCTTCGTCGAGTCACAAAAGTGAAAAATAGCAAGAATATGGTTCTGAGTGCTGCAGACGGGAACAAACAAACCAAAGTTTACACAAAGCAATATCTGAAAGTGTGTGTGGGGGCCACACGATATTCAGAAAGTGCTCAGTATACTCCAGTGACCAATATAACCCTCCCAGCGTGAACATTTCTTCTGTCTCCATCTAAGATTGCTGACCTGTCATCTACTACCAATATAGGCAGAGTGAATCTAGGTGGAAATGAGAAATGGCTCATTTAGAATCACTGAAGGGAGATGACACATCATACGGAGACTTATCAATCAATATTTCAATAGCGAAACTGAAAAGAAGGCTCTGTGCTTGATGAATCATCAGCCATGTCTGCTAAACACACCCTGCAGGGCAACCAACCTCTTATTAGTGTCACTTGTGTCAAAAAGACATTCTAAATGGATTTTTATCAAAGCTATTGAGCAATGCTGTTCCAAAAGTCGCCTCACTGTTTACTGTCTACACAGGCGGCTATTTTATACAGCAGCATCCCAACTGAAATGGAACTTCATAAGTGGATGATTTGAAACGCTTTTCATAGCAATCCTGCAAGCTGTCACTCATGTACATGGCACAAATGACTTCTCACATGAAGTACACAAGACTTCTCACAATTCAGTTGATTTCAATAGAGCTCCATGGTGGCCACCCATTTTTTCAACAGCCTTGGATACAGGAGGATTCTTCTCATTCATTCCCTCCATAGAGTTTTTAAAATATTCTGCTATAAAGAGTGTTAAGCTGGGAACCAAACCAACCAACTCTGAGAGGAAAAACATTACATTACAAATTGATTTTAAGCAAAGAAGTATTTGAAAAATCAGACAAAGGTACAAGACTGGGCATTTAAATTATTTTGGAGAGAGAATGAAGTCCCATGAAGCATTGCAGATTACAACTGAATCTAAATGATGGTACAATATTAAACTTATTACTTAGAGTCATTGATTAGAAATTATATATTCACAATACATTTTGTGCAAAAACATGCTTCATGTGAATGGGCGGTCACTTGTGAGTGCTTTTGGGCTTTTTGGAGTTTTGTTTCCATAATAATAGCAACATTTATGATTGGCTGCCTCTCTCTTCAAAATAATGGGCAGTGGAGCTCTTCCTGGAGAATCCGATAAAATGTAACAATTTAAAAAAAAATAAGTTAAAATCACACTCATTTATGGATTCTACAGCACCATACATCATTGCTTAATATGTCATGGTAGGCTTGTCTTGAACAGTTTATGCATTATTGTCAAAAATCAATGTAGACATAATGACTGTTGCACAATTTAGAGCCTGATGTTACCAACACTAAGCTAATGATACTCTAGAAATACAAATATATAGCCCACAAATATTTTGTCAATAATCAGTTTTAGATTAGATATATGTATCAGTTAAAATTTTTCAGTACCGAATAAAAGTATTTGACATTTCCATAGGCTCCATAGGTTTTAGCCTTTAGAAAGGCTAAACCTTTCTAAAACATTCTTGTCACAGTGTGTTCTGGGATTGTCTTATTATCCATAAAGTATATGTTATCTTATACAACAACATAATTTTGCTACATATTGTTTCAAACTGGCTTCACATCAGGATAATGCCCAAAAATATCGCCTAGCTAAGCAGGTTTTGTTAAGTAAGCTAAATTTTGGAACGGAACTATAGTGTTTGGTTTCATTTTTAATTCACTAACTAAACAAAATGTCTTAAAGTTTAAAAAAAATGATAAAAGATGCACCGTTAACATAATGCATTGCTAGCTCAGCTGTAGAGATGAAGTGTGTATCACTGGGATCCAAAAAGGCCAGTACTGTTTGTGCTTTAAACTACCTGAATCACACCAGCTCTTGTTCCTCTTTTAATTCAGCTTTTTATATGCAGAGTCCTGCTCTGTGTAATATAACCTTATCGACTGCCAAACATGGGCAAACAGCCTCTGAAAACACAAATACAACTGTTGCTTTTTAATTTCCATCATCCTCAATTTGTTTAAGAATTACAGGGACAAACTTTATAATGACTCTAAATGAACAGTCTTGACGAGCTCTTATCTGGAGACTCCTCAGCTGGTCACTACAGACTCGCACGCACACACACGAATGGTGAATACTCCTGAAAACATTAGGCTAGAAATAATTAAAGAATCAACCAATTAGGGAGGCACAACACTGAACTGTAAAACAAACACCCAATTAGTTTGAAACATAATTTAGCATTTGTGGCCGCAGAATCAAATCACCGCTTTATGGAATTAATAGACGCGCTATGTACACAGATAACCTTAAGCAATGCTAAAGCAGTAAATAAACAGAATGACATCAATGCTGACTACAGTGTTAGACAGATGTGGCATGCAATACAAGGAAATGCACTTGAGGAAATGCTAACATGGACATGCACATGACGCATATAGGGTGAACAATTAAACAAATAACAAAAAATATACTTTTAATATACTTAATTTAGTTATGCTAACAAGATGAATTGAAAATGGCGACTGAGCATGATCTGAAGTCATCGGCACATATGCATCATATCAGAACTTGTCAGGCTATGTGCCAATGATGTCATCATGCTACTTTAAAGTTGCAGTCGGCAGTCACATCTACCATTGCTAATTACAAGGGCAGAATCATTTCAGTAGGAATCTGTGCGATTGTAAGTTTCACGTGAGGAAGAAAAAGTTCCTCATGCTGATTTCACTCATGCTCAAGTTGATCAATTGAATTTGCCAAACTAACAAACAGAAAGTTGCTTGGTTTGAAAGTGATTTATGTGAGCTGTGCTTCATGCATCACTACGCTATTGACAGTGGACCATGGAATTTCACCGAAATTTTGCTAATGTGAATGCACCATTACTCAGTATTAAAACAGTACTATTTTATACTACTTCATGCCACAACACATTTTAACACACGTAACATGGCTATTGAGCTTTTTTCCTGTCATCCAACAACTAATAGCACAGCATGACCCGTTTCATTCAGGTACGTGTCACACATCGTTCTGGCTTTGTTACAGAAGCCCACCTTTCCATAAGGCTGTGCTAAAAGCACCAATCCAAACTTCCTGCACCTGTTTACTTGCCTAATCTGTCCTATCTCCACCCCTCCAATCACAGCCATCCACGAAGACTTTATTCACATCCACCTCTTAATAAACACCCTGGGTACAAAGGCAAAGACCAATTTAGCCACTTCTATTTCAGGCACTGAAAACTCTTAGGCCTTACTTCCCTGCCTGATCTGTGGAAGACCTCCTGAAAACATCATGCCTGGATGCAATGGCGCTATTGTTTTCTAACAGCCATTTATGAAATGTTTGCATGTGCATATGTAGGTGTATACAATCTCATACACATCAAAAACATGGCCTAAGAGAGTGACTCTGCAGGAGTGCAGAAGCTCCAGAAACATCATGACCACATGAAGAATACCGGCTTTTATTTCATCCTTAAGCTGTGGCTTTAAAGGGAAAAAAATAAATCTTTGGGATATGAATGATGACAGTTGGAGGGGCACACATGTCCTAAATCCCCCCCCCCCCCAAAC